CTACAGCCTTGTCCACGGGGCTGCGGCAGCAAAGCATCTGAGGCTGACCCACAGCTGCGTGGCTATGGCAGTGGTGCCTCTCGGGCCAGTCCTGGACTGCATGGCTTTTGCATCAGCAGAACCTCCCTCCAGGGTGTCTGGGGCAGTGTGGCTGCAGATGTTGCTGCAAGGGGGCATGAAGCCAAGTAATGTTCACCCTCATCCCGAGGCCCTCCATCCCCTTACTTCACTCTACCCCAGCACTGCCAGCTTGCTCTGACACTCTCCCTTGTTCTTGTATCCTCTCTCCTTGCCACACACTGCCCCTTCCCTTGTACTCTACCCCAGCCCTGCCAGCTTGCTCTGACACTCTCCCTTGTTCTTGTATCCTCTCTCCTTGCCACACACTGCCCCTTCCCTTGTTCCTGCTCCCTCCATCTAGCCAGACACCCTACTCCCAGCCTGCTTATGCACCCCAGCTTCCTTCCAAAAGTCTGCACCTCATCCCTATCCTGCTTGCTGGCAGCCCTGCCTCACACACTGTAACCCTCTTCTCAATCCCTACCACAGAGCCAAAGGACGTCCATAAGATCCACTAACTCCAGAATGCCAGAAAAGGAAATCTGGTCTATTGGAAGTTCTTAACCTCAGTCCTCCCCCCTTTGCTTCCCCTCACCTGATGAGGCTGGGGCAGCAGATGATTGACATCTCTCAATTGGGGCCACATCAGTGAGGTTTGGGGGGTTGGAGGAGTTTCTTTGCTTCTTACTTGTGTGGTCCTCAATGGATTTTTTTTGTGGGTCAGTGACCCCTGGGCAAAAAAATGGTTCTCCACTCCTGCATTAAATAAAGAAAACATTGAAACCTTTTGTGTTGGGCATAATGTTGTACTTTATTTAAAAAGAACTTTGACAAAGTAATGAGAAAATCAAAATGCTTAATCTGTTTTATAATGTAAATTAAACTGATCTCCACAGCTGCAGCATTAGCAGAGTGGCTCAGGTGTAATTATAATTAATAGTGAGTGTCCATTAGCAACTGGTAGTCCAAGGAAAGGTTTGCATCCACCCATGTTATCCACAGGGCATACAGTGGAGAGAGCTCCTCCCCCTCTCCCAGGAGAGTGTCACAGCCCAGAGCAGGAGAGTTAAATCTTTGTACACCCCTGGGGAACAGTTGCTGACCCCTGTTGTACTTCTTCTAAACAACTGGCTGAGCAATCCCTAGGCAGGGCTGTGGTCTGTAGCTCATTGGAGGTAACTTTATTGGCTGAGGGTGAGTTTCAAAATCAAGACTTCTGGGTCCTGTTCCCAGCATTGTCCCAGACTGGCTGTGTGATGTCAGACAAGGCTCTGTGCCTTTCTCAGTCTTTGTCACTCCCTCTGTCAGTTGGGTGTAACCATCCCCTCCTGCCTGCCCCATCACAGGGGAATTAGGGGAGCTGTAAGGGGCCATGTGAGGGTGTCATTGGTAGCACGGAGTAAGAGGAGGTGTCCTATCACCGGGAGTCAATACAGATACCGGGGTGTGTGTGCAGTAGAGTCCTGTTCTTCCCCCTTCCATTGTTCAGGGCCCCATGTGAACCTCCCCAACCAGCGCACACAGGGCCATAAACAAGCAACTCCTATGGCCAGTAGATGGCACAGCGGCCTCCCAATTCCCCATTCTCCTGATTATTGGGATGCTTGATTATCTGATTCGAGCCCATCCCAATTCGATGTGACCAACAGGGCTCTGCTGTGTAACAGCTGCTACAGCCAATCATTGTTTCATTGTGTGTTGGGACTGCTGGCCCCTCACTAAAACTCAGGGCCAAGAGGTTGGCTTAAATAGCCCCCAGCACCAAAAGGAAGAGGGAGGTGTTGGGATATGTAAATTAGGATATGTAAATTAATGGGGGTCTGGAATGGTTCTACATTAGAGGTTTAGAGGTCGGCCATACCATTACCCTTTGAACATTACCCTTTTGTTTTTTGTAGTTTGGGAAGAGTCCAGTCGCAACCAGCATTATCCTTTCTCAGTGAGAATCAAGGGAGGGACCCCTCCTGCGGTCAGACAATATCCTATCCCTCGGGCTGGCAGGCTCCCCAATGTAGACTCACTATCTCAATTTAGAGCCCCAGAAAGAATAACTTAGAATGGCTGTGGGGAGGGGCTAGTTCAAACTAGCAGCAGTGGCGCATCTACACAGGCCTTATTTTAAAATAGCTAATTTGGAATAGGCGTTATTCGTAGAGTGAGGTTTGCAGAAGTCAGAATAAGCCATCTGTTACTTCAGAATTATTTCAAAATAAATTGCTGTGTAGACTCTTGCATTGTTATTTTAGAATAATGGCTATTGTTCCAAAAGAACTTTTGTGGGTGGACAGAACCTGCGCAGCCCAAGAAATGCAATTGGCAGCTCGTACCACAATCTTTTTGTCAATTGCAGTACGGGGCTCTGAAGACAGGGATCCAAGTTGCCTTCTGCTAAGGCCAGGCCAGTGGGAAAAGAATGGCTCCTTCAAGCTGGAGTTGAACCAGCAACCTAAGGATCACTTGCCAAGCACACACTATAGTCCTCTGCTTTACCAGCTGAGCTATCAAAGGATGCCTGAATGATACAGGTTTCTCCAGGTTGGCCCTTCTACAAGTCTCCGGGCAGGTGCTCCTGCAAGTAGATGGCATTGCTGATGAGGGGCAGAGGAGCACAGGTGCTGTCACAGGTACTTCACATGCAGACAGACCCCTTCAGTGAAACCTGAGCTAGATCCATCCATGTCACAGCAAAAGGAAGAAAGTTGGGTTCTTCTCATGTGTCTTCTTTGTTCCAGAGTCTCTAGGGGTGCGGAAGGGTCAGGTCCACAAAAAAACAAAGCAATTGAATGAACCTTAGTCTAGAAACACCCCTGAGGGTTTCCTTCTATGTACTTAAATGACAAAAATTTTTTACTAACTCCTTGGCCAACTCATATTTCTGTGGGGTTATGAAATTCTCTCTCCTTAATTCTGTGCCCTCAGAAAGGGAGAAAATTGAGGAAAGCCGGACCCCCACATGGGGACAACCTAAACCCTCAGACTAAGAGGTTTACAATCCAGAAGATCAGTGGTTGCTTCATTTCTGCCTTTCTTCATCCTTGACTTCCTTCAACCCTGCCCAACCTCAAGTCTAGCTCCACAGTCCAAGCAGCTGCAGGA